TTGTCTAATCTTTCAGACCCTGCAAGATCCACAATCAGCAACTTGCTTTTCCTAGCCACAAGGTAAATTGCTTTTTGCCTGCAATACCTTATTCATGTTAAGTGCCAATGCTTGCATGATAATCACACGTGTAAGCATGTCAATGCAGTTTGCTTCGTTGTACTGGTTTAACAATATGCTTAGCTGTCTTTTTCACATACCAGTGCGAGTAGTCTTGCATGTCTTAAGGCAAGTTTAAGCTTAACACTTGTTTTATAGTTGTTTACAAGTGCAATGTAAGTGTGCAAAGTTTATAAGGTTGTAATTAAGGAGAAAGATCTTACTAACTAAATGTAACCTTCTAATTAATTAATAATTCAACATAAAGATGGATATCAAATCATAATTTAACAGTAATTTTTACTTTCTTCCCTCTAAAAAAAGATAAAGAAAAGTACACAAATTCAAACCTTCCATCCCCTTAATTATCTTCAAAAATAAATCACCATCATTTGCCTCATCCACAGATATTAATTAATATTTAAATCTCTCTGGTGCGATTAGTTTGCTCTTTTGCTAACTCAAACTACAATGTGGTTTGTAGGGATTTGCTATTGGTAATGGCCTGACTGACGCTGCAGTCCAGTGTAAAGCTTACACAGATTATGCTTTGGACATGGGGGTAATTAAGAAGTCTGACTACAATAGTATCAACGAGCTGGTTCCAGTTTGTGAAACGGCAATAAAGCTTTGCGGTAATGTCGCATCTGAAATGGCTTCCTCTTTTCCGATGATCATTGCTCTACAGTTTTACCTCTTTGTTTCAAACTTCAAAGCCTGGATATATTAATTGATGCTTTTTTTTTTCTTTTTGCATTTTTGTGTTATAAGTATATATCACTGATTGAATCGTTGCTACTTATCTCCTCGACACCTTTTCTTGTTTTATACTATATATAGTTATGGATATACCTTGTGTAATGAAATTTTATTTGTCCAATTAATTAAGGAGATTAAAGTACTTTTTGGTGACGTGGCATAAATGGGAAGGTATAAAAGCGGGGCAGTTGATTTCTGTTAGAACACTTCCCGGTCTGGTCTCACACTTTACTTTCCTTATTGCTCTCTGATTCCCGGAACCAAACCATACAAGCAAGAACCAAAGCGTGTTTTGTTAGAGAACAAAGCAGAAGAAAAACCTGTTCAGAGAGAATTGAAGCTGGAAGTTTGTTCATTCTCTTGGTTCTGTTTACAGGTACGTTTTTCCGTTCCATTTTTTTTTTCTTGATTTTTTAGGATTGATTTTATTTTTCAGTTAAGTTTTCGTTTAGGGTTTTGGATCTTAAGAAAGTTTCGATTATAATTTTTCTTTTCTTACTTCTTTACCTAGAAAATAGAAAGAAATACTTGATGGTCATTTTTTCTTTGTTTGTGTTGATCACTGGTATTTACGTCCATAGTGACATTTTGGTTTCTTGGATTGAACCGCAGATTGTTGGGGTCTGAAGCTATCTAAATTACTCAATCTTTAGCGGCCAATTGTTATTTCAAGAGGGTTTCAAATGCCAGACCTTCCACTTTCTGCATTGGATCACGATTGCAAGATGGATCAAAACTCTGAGGTGGCTTCAACTCTGTCTTCGATTTCTTCTAGAAAAAGGAAGAGACGTGATGGTTTATCAGTTGCTGACACTCTCAAGCTCTGGAGTCGAAACGAAGATGCCAAACAATCGTGTAAAGGTCCCGCCAAGGGATCGAAAAAGGGGTGTATGAAAGGGAAAGGAGGACCTCAGAATCAAAGCTGTAACTACCGAGGTGTTAGGCAGAGGACTTGGGGTAAATGGGTGGCTGAAATCCGAGCACCCAATGGAGGGAAGAGAATTTGGCTTGGTACTTTTCCTACTGCTTGTGAAGCTGCTTTAGCTTATGACGAAGCTGCCAGGACGATGTATGGGGAAAATGCCATACTAAATATGCCTCATATTTCGGGTTTTGACTCAGTTGCAACTACTTCACACGCGTTTTCGGAGGCTACTACTTGTGCTGCTTCTAACTCCACGACTGTGCCAATGAACTTTGAAATTTGTGGAACAGATGTGGATGGTGAAGGTGAACCACGTTGGATGAATGTTGAATATACTGTGGATTCTGAAACTGCCTGGACGATGGATGGTGAAAATGCGATGCTGATTATGCCTAATGTTTCAGATTTTGACTCAGTTACAATTACTTCACCCGTGTTCTCGGAGGCAACGACTTGTGCTGCTTCTAACTCCGTGACCGTGTCTAGTAACTCTGAAATTTGTGGAAGAGACGTGGATGGTGAAGGTGAACCAAGTAGGATGAATGTTGAATACACTGTGGATTCTGAAACTACCTGGACGATGGATGGTGAAAATGCAATACTGAATATGCGTCATGTTTCAGATTTTGACTCAGTTACAATTACCTCACCCGTGTTTTCGGAGGCAACCACTTCTGCTGCTTCTCACTCCGTGACTGCGTCGAGTAACTCTGAAATTTGTGGAAGAGATGTGGATGGTGAAGGTGAACCAAGTAAGATGAATGTTGAATATACCGTTGATTCTGAAGCTGCGACGACAAGTCAAGATGTCCAAACTGATGCAAAATCAGAAGAGCACACAGATGATAGCTGGCTAACTAATGGTTTGGATTTCGTCAAGGATATTGCAATCGATTTTGGAGAGACTGATGACTGGTTTGAGGATTATTGTTTTAATGTACCTGACTTTTTTGATTAAAATGTAATAGAAGAAAAAGAATTGTTTAGTTGTAATATACCTACTGAAATGAAGCAAGAAGTTCACACATCAAGAAGTTTTGGATTCTGTTTTTGCTTTGGCTCTTGGATTTAATGTTAAGCAAGGTGCTTTGTTTTCGTTGTATGACTTGTTGTGTGAAGGGAACCAGGCATCGGTTAGGTTGATGATCTATTGTTGGGATGTTTGTTTTGTACTTGCTTTGAGTCTCGGGCCGTCTTAAATATGAAGGAACTTTTGCTTGTTGAGTGTGAGTGGTCACTTGCGATAGGAGCTGCTGTGTTATGGGTTAGTGCTTTGTCGAAGGTTTTGTTGAGTCTGTGCTTGAATGTAGGAATATGTTACAACATGGCTCTCACTTGTTCTACTATCTACTATGTTGGAACCGCTATGAAATGAATTTGGCACAGGGCTTATGAGTCAATTCAAGCTGAGTGTTTGCTATGAAAGCTAAGTTGCAAGATTTTAATTTTTAAAGTTCAACATATGCACAAAAGGTCAATAATTTGTCTTTCCCAGTGTGGTGGTGCATATCCAGCTTTTAACCTGATATAGTCTGCAATTCCTTCTATTAATCCTCCAGGAGTTTGGGCATTCCCATTCCACTGCTCAACATGAGCCGTCTCATGAACTATTATTCCTGTAAATTCTCTCTTCACATCTCCTGAGTAGTTTCCGATGTAGTTTACGAAACTTATTTAAGTTCTGTAAGACAAATTAAAGGTCAAATCAGGAAACTGATGAATAGAGAACATGGGACAAAATTTTATTACATACATACATACGTGTGAGACAGCTTAATCATTATTGATTCCTAAATCAAAGTTGTTTGCATCCACCACTAATCAAGATTCTAGGTACAAAGTTGAAGTTCCATGTAACCAGATTAATGCTTCTGAAACAAAGATCATTATCACCTCTGCCGGTAGGAAGCCCAAAGACTGTGAACATAGATAAGATCCCTATTTCTCTTCAAGTAAAACGGTTCTTCCAACTGAATCGGGGGTTACATGCATGTATCAATGCTGCTCTGACTGCCTACATACCCTCCTTAGTTTGATGCAAAAAGTCCTGCTTCAAGAACCAAAATCAGATGGGAGCCAGTGGACAGTAGATGAGGTTCATGATACAGTTGCATCAATGTCTGTGGATCTTCTTTCAACAGTTAAGAAAGTTTTTGAGGCTGGATATGGCAGCAGTAAATTTGATGAAAACCTGAGAGTTGAAAATCATGGAAAGTTATCCAAGTGTCAAGAGTCGTTGCAAAAGCTCAGAAAATAGTTTAGTTATTCCAACGGAATGTATCTGTCACTCTGTAGGCACCACCTCTCCAAACATGGAATTCATGTTTGATCCAAAATTTGTTTACAGTGATGGAGTGATGGATCCTATAGATTCTAACAAAGTTTTTATTTCACTGTATATTCAAGACGTTGTGCCTTTGTTCTCTTAGAGTCTGTATTAATGACTTACAGGTTCACGATGCTTGTCACATGGTTCCTATGGACCAGCCAAAGGCAGCATTGGAGATGCTGAAGCGGTGGACTAAGGGTAAACTATCTGAAGCTGCTGATTTAGAGAAATTGACCGCTGAAATATGATTTCCATGATTCCATTGCTTGCATTCAATCTAGTTGGCCTTGGAATGGGAATAACCGTCTTGTAAAGCTTTGGGGTTTTTACGTACGACTGTAAAAATATTTGCATGTGGATGCTGGTACAATGGTATCTTGATTTTTTGAATACCTACTGAAATGAATCAAAGAGTTATTAAAATCTTCAAGCTGGTTTACTTATTTACTCTATTTTCTCTCTTTATTATTATTATTATTATTATTATTATTATTATTATTGAGTATTACTACAATGTAGAAAGTTAAATTCAAGATTCATATTTCATCACTCCCTTGTATCCCTGCCAAGTCCCTCATAGTTTTCTCACACCGCCTATACCTCCTACCAGTGCCCTAACCTAAAGAAAGTGCTACTAAAATTAACTCAGACCCCCTCCCCTTCACTCTCTCACCACTTTCTTTTGTCCTAAAGCCTCAAGAACATTCTCCTTGTACTCTTATTACCACGCCCCATTCATACTACAGTCTTCAACCCATCCCACAGCTCTGCTTAAGATTCTGGATCACTCATTCATTCAGATGCAAATTCTTCCTCTTATCCACATTCAATCCCATGCCCTCTCTCAACTCCCTCTTTCCTCCTGAAAATTCAAGTAAACCACACTCCACAATCACCCAGACTACAACCCACCCCAGCAGAACCCGACTCACAAAGTCCTTTATAATCTCGCCCCTGCATTTACCATAACCTCTCCACCCGTTTTCCTCACTCAATAAAAAGTTCCCACGCAGAAAGACCCCCACCCTTTTGGGTTCACAGGAAGAGCAATACTCTACAGATCAGCAGAACATGATATAGATTTTTCCTGCTTCTATTGAGTATATGTTAGTTATATTATGTTTTCCCATATCTCAAACCAATTGCAAAATAAGTCTTAGGTTGAGCTCTCAATTTCAAATGTTTGTTTCTTGAAACATGAGGTCACCAATATGTAGATACTTGATCATATACACTAACAACAATTCATTGCAAGATGCAAAAGATCACTTTCCAATAAAAGTTATTAATCTTTTTTAATTTCTTCTCTCTTGTTGCTTTTTTTTTTTTTCTAATTATCTATCATATATTTCATATGAAAAATGCTATAGTCATAGTTCCAATAATTCGAGTAAGATATATTAAATCTTTATCTTTAAAAATTGTATTGTTTACACATAATGTTGAAATAAGCACTTACCATTTACATTAAATGATAGCATGGAAAAATCTCAGAGACATCTTTTTGCTAATTTACTTATTTTTGCAGCATTTCTTTGCTTGAAGGCAAAGTTTGCTTCAAATGGTAAGATTTCAATAAATGTGATGAAACCTAATTAACCTTTTTTTCAAATTTATTTAATCAACAAATTTTCTAGTGGAAAGCTAATTGTTGAATGGTAAATTTGTAGAGGTATTTCGTATTTACTTAAAAGGGACATTTTATCTTGAATTACAAATAAAACGAAAAACAAGATTCTTTTACCATATAATCTTAAGAAAATTACGCTGATCATATGTTAAAAGCCTGCGTAAAATTTGTATCTTTTGCAAGAAAAATATCTTATCATACTTGGGAGTGTTAAATGATTGATCTGCACATGCTTCCTATGTATAAATCATGATTTTAGCAGTTTTGACATTTAACGTGACAATTCTATTGTTACTTTTCTCTTGAAACCCCATATAACCTTTGCAAGTTGTCACTTACCTTAAATGAAAAAATGTCAAGGTGAATTTTGAAAAGAAAAAAAAAAGGGTAATGGTTGACAGGAGTTTCTTGAAGCATGTGATCTATTTAATAGGTGATGAAATGGTGAAATGCATCCAATTCTAGCCAGTGGATTGTGGTTCTTGACATTCCAGGGGTATATTCAAATTCCAGCCAATGAATTTGGTTGTGGCAAGTAGATTGTAACTTCTGGTTGAAACTCAGAAACATGAGTGTGCTCTCTAGGGAAGGGCACTGAGGAACATGAACTTTCAATGGTGTCTAAGAAAAAGGCCCTGATCTTAAAATGAGAATACAACTGACATAATACAGAAGCACGTATATATCTATTCCAGAGATTAATGGTATGGTGGCTTCAAAAGCTCTCTCAAATTAGACTGATGAGCTCATAATGCTCTTTAATACAAAATACATTTTTACTAGATAGACAGTAAAATCACACCAAAAAGAGAATGTATTGTTTTATGATCTCACTCGGGCAAGTCGCGCTCTTATCTCTTCTAACTCTTCCTCATCATCTGCACCCTCTGCTATAGCTTCTTCCTGTAATATTTTGAAAAAATTTAGTTCCTTTTATCTTTTTGCAACAAGAAGTAAAAATGAAAAAGAAAAAAAGCAAGGGGATAAAGTTGTGCATACTTCATGCGAAGTGCTTCCTCTTTGGGCAGGTACCCTGACTCTTTCCTTCCTAACAGCTTCAGGAAGCTGTGCAGCAGTTTCACCAGCTATTTCTGAAAGAACCTTATCAACTTCTTCTTCAGTCTCTTCTTCTATATCTTCTGAATCCAATGCTGTGTCAAGGGCATCATTTACTACTTCTTCAATAACCCCAGCCTATAAACCAATTTATGACATAGGTGTAAGATAACTTAAAGAAAGAAAATAAAAAGGAAAGTGGTTAAACAGAGGCATTACTGTAGTTAGAAAAAAAGAAAAAAAACCCTTAAAACTACTTCCTTATAAAGAACTTCTAAACATGTAGAATGCAGGTGCTTCTCACATGCCACATAAGTCCCTTATATTTTTAAAAAGGAACCATTCATCGTTGGAAGAGCAGTCACTAAATTCAAGTTTTGTTTTTTGCCATCCTCTTAACCCAAACCCCTATTGGCTGAGCTGCAAAAACAGGAAATAGCCCTCCTCCCGATCTCATAAATAGCTCAAATCGAAATACACCTCCACCCCAACCACAACTTAAGGAAGGCTTTTATATCCCTAGTCTTTCTCTGAGGAGAGTTTTTGTGAACTTCATTGTACATCTCGTCTTCAAAGAAATGAAAGACAAAATCAAACCCCAAAAGTTGTAAATGAACCATTGGACTAAAGTTTATTGGTTGAAAACTTACTATTTATGTTGGACATATTCAAAATAAATTTCCTGACCAAGTCAACCTCTGCACAACTTTCAGCCAATAAAAGCACTACTAAAATCTCATCTTGAGGCAACATAGCAACTCCAAACAATAGTCAACTACCAACAGTTCTTAATATGTTGAGAAAGATCATGAAACAAAAACTGGCATATGAATGGAACAAAATACTAGCTCTAAACTTGAAAATTACCTTGGTCATTTCTTTGCTAAATTCTTGCATTGTGGCAGCCATTTCCGGTGCTTTCATGAGGTTGTTAACAAGTTTCATGACTTCAGCACTCTTGGACAAATGCCCAACAGTACGAGAAATTGCTGCAAACCCATTCCAGTATAATAGCACTTAGAAAGAAAGGTGAGAAAGACCAAATGGGATCTACATCAAGCAGTTCTTCCAAAGAATACAATCATGAAGGACACTAAAGGGGGAAAAATAAATTGTTTCTCTATTGTACCAATGATTTTGACCATAGCATTCCCAAGTGACATCTTATCCATCAAGCCAAGTTAAGATTCAAGGGAGAGCTGGAAAGGATTCTGATAACCACAACTTCAGACAACAAAACAAGGCTTTCTTGATGGAGAAAGAAGAGGAAAGTGAAGTTTTTTAAATGTTGAAATAATGATGATTCTATAGTGGAAGTTCACAAAGAACATGACTAACTCTTCTATTAAGAATATTCAGCAATCAATCATTCTTGTCCTCCCACAATAAGTACTGCCTTTAACTTTAACTAGGAAACTGAAAGAAAGCTCCAAAGTATTGACATGAATTAAACCTTGTACATTTTTAAGGCTGAATCCATTGACAGAAAAAGGTGTAGACTTATCTAACAAGGAAACCAAAATGATTTCCCAGACCATCCTAACATGATTTTTTTTTTTGGCACTCTTTTCTGATTCTTCAATGAAAGGTTTACCAAGGGAATGGTTAAGGAACCATCCATTAGGGAAAAACTAGAATTCCATAACCTTCGAAATATTGGAGTCATATTGTTCTACATCTCCCTACTTCTTAAAAAAGGTAGACGCATAGTTTCCCTAAATATAAAAAATAAAAACATTGCTACTTCAGTAGTCATCAACATTCAATCAAAAATAATAATAATGATGATTGATAATAATCAAAACCACGAAGTCTGTTAACCATCACAATTGCTGTTCTTGTAAGACATAATTTAACTTGCACAATTTCCAAAACATAGCAAAATGTATATACTTAGGTTTTATGAGTCTAACACTTCAAATATTCATGGAAATAAGCACATGCAAACCAAAATTCTCAACCTATGTTCCAAATAAAAAAATTTCCAGGTATGGGGACACAATAGCGTTCTTGGAATAAACATAGCGCACAAGATTCAGATGCATAAGTTGTCATACCAACACTTTCTCCGAGGTGCATTGATATTGAGTTAAGCTGGGCTTTATTCTCATATAGACGGTTCACAGCTTTTCTTGACATTACGATTTCTTTTGCAAGTGCCTGAAAATACAGAATAACGATCATCATGTCAATATACATAAGAGATGATTCATCAATAACAAGGAGCCAAATGCAAAATTGCAGGCATGCAAGCATGCACATGACAGAAATAATGAATATTCAGAAATAAAAGACACACAAGCTTCAGTTGATCAGACCATGCAACTAAAACATGATCACTTCTTAAGCTAAAAATTTACATCTTTTCAATTTCAGCTTGCAGTTCCCACTAGTTCTTATCAAGGGTTAACCAAGCTTTCTGTCCAAGTTTTTAGCTTTAAAGAGACTTAACAAATAAAAACATAAGACCTCTAGTATTACGAAAATCAATTAAAATCCCATTCAATACATGCCCAATCATGTCATTCAAACAAGCACAAACTCTAATCTGTTCGAGCAATTGAACAACCTCAATGACTCTACATCATACTATGACCCAGATCCTTTTACTGTAAACTTAAATTTACAAGACATAGCAGAAAAAAAATGCTATTGATACATTATAAGAGATAGCTGCTACTTCGCAGAAGGAATTTCCTGACAATCAGACAAGAAACAAAAGAACGAGTAGATGAATCTACACTAGAAAAGAACAGTAGCAGTAAGACTAGTATCCCAAGAAAGGCAAGAGGCGAAGTAACAACCACCTTAAAAACACGATCAATCAGATAATCCTTATGCCTTAATGATCTTTAATGTGATTTTATAGCAAATGGTGCTGACTTCTCTTCCTAATCATACCATTCAAATAAAAACAACAATAAAAAGAGAGAAACAGAATTCAATTCGTTAACAACTACGACATGATCGATCCATTCATCTAAAGTTCCACTAGGAAAAAAAAAAGTTAACAAAAAAATTAAGATGTTACCTTAGCAGAACCGATGTCATTCCTTTTGGCAGCTTCTCTAATTGCCTTCTGTACACTTTTCTCCTCCCTCTGAACATCTAAAACACAAACCACATAAAAACTCCGATCTATCAATTTGCCTATCAGAAAATTCATGCATATAACCAAAAAAAAATTTTCAAAAAAATTAATCTGAACTACCCATCAACTCAAAAATCTAAATAAACACCCAAAAAGCAATCTTTAAAATTCCACCCAAACGCTTAAGAAAAGAACAACTTGCCTCTGATTTGGCGTTCAATGTTACGGCACTCTTGACGAAGCTTTCTTTGCCAATCTCTTAATAATTGTTGTGGGTTTGGCTTGGGTTTCAACATATTCTTAAATTTATCCATCTTTGTCTCTTCTCTCTCTAGATTAGTAGTTTTTTTCTTTTTCTTTTTTCTCTTTCGAGGTCAGAAAAACAGAGAGTGAGAAATTTTTGATAGAAAACGCGTTGGGACTTTTCTACGAAGAGGAGGAAAGAAACTGGCTTAGAATCAAAGCTTTCCCTTTGGTTTTTCTATCATTTTCTTTTCCGTGTTTGTTTCCCCGGAGTTGTTTTTTTTATCTATTTTCTTTTCCTTTTATATTTTCCAGGAAATTTGGAACGATGTCGTTAAACCGAGGTTGGGGTTTTTCTTCTACTTATTTTTCTTTTTACTTTCTTATGTTACAGTGTGACACAGAAATTTGAATCTATTTTGTTAGTGAAACAATTTGATGCGTAAAGTTTTTCGTTTCTTTACGAATGAAAGTATCCTTAGTCAAGGCCATTTTATTAGAATCCATCCAAAAGTATATTAAAGTTGGAAATAAAAAATTAAACAATTATTGTAATTTAAATATCGAACAATGATCTTATTTTATATAAAAAGTGACGAAATTAGCTAGAATCAACCCTAGACCTTTTAAAAAAACTTTAAATTATTTAAAAAAATTTTATTATTTTATTTTATTTAATCAAGTCCCGATGATAGTGATGATAATAAACTACAAAAAAACAAATGCATTTAACTTACCTACTAATTAACTTACAAGCAATATGTCATGTAATTCAATAATTTGTATTCAAAGGCAAAACTTAATTGAGTTCATATCAATGGAGCAGACTCTGAAGTTAAAAATAAGCAGCAAATTGCTAAGTGCATATATATATATACACACACACTACTCAATTACCCATCACAATGCCAATGGAAAAACAGATATAATCTCTTTGCAGAGTTTCATTGGTTCATAATGAGTCTAATACATCAATTTCCTTTTGCTAGCCAAAATGTTTATACTAAGTCAAAATGTGGGTTTCATAAGTCTAGGGAGTAAGAGAGTCCTGGCCTGCAACTGGCAGTCAATTTGAAGAATAATGGAGGCTTTCCATATGTGTAGTTTATAAGACCAAATAAAAAAATCAGCTACATGAAACAATTTCTCCACTGTCTAACAGTCTCCATGCCACTACTTGACCGTCATCACCGATCATCTAATCAAAGAGGCCGTCATCGTGCCAAATATCAACTAGAAAGTCTACCATCTCCTGCACAATACATCAATCAACCAAACTGATATAAGAACTAATCATATTCGCATTGGTGCAGTTATTTATTTAAGCCAAGGGGAGATGGTATTCAAATCTTGAATGTTAATCCTTGTAAAGGGAGATTACAAACCCTAGGCTAAGTCAGAGTTGTTGGACCAGTTTATTTTATAATAATATAACACTGGCAAACATGCCTCCTCAGCATTCAAATGTATGATATGATGGTTACGATCTATTTACGAACTCTTTCATTGTTAATTAATTCTCTAAAAATCTATCGATTCATGATGTGCAGTTTGAAGATATACTTACTGGCAAAGAAATTGACTCGGGAAATGGCTCATTAGTTAGGAGAAGCTCTTCATACGTTGTGGACCAGCTGCAACAGAGATTTTGCAGTTATTAACCACATCGCATTTGGGCAAGGATAAGACAATATAAATGGGTAAAACTTATGATATCAAAGGAAAAAAAAATCATATTACACATCAATGAACCAAATGGAAAAAGCTATTCTTCTTTTCTTCAGAAGATATGTTAATAAATAATAAACCCTACATCAATGTAGCGAATTTGGGATAGTTTCCTAAAAAGTCAGATCATATATATTCTAATACGATTACAATTAGATTGGAGTTTGAGAATCCATATGAATTTACATCAAAGCCCTTTTTGGACAGGAAACCACATCAGCTCACACAGTCATCCCACATTATTCAAACTTCAGCAAGGTCTCAAAATCATTTAAGAAAAAACATTAAAAACCTTGATTTTCCAACAAAACAATGTGACAGACAAACCCCTATTTCCCCCTACCACTTGAGCCAAACTGGAATAGCAACTTCAGCTCAATTTTTAATTGCACATCTTGAGGACGGAAAAACTGGCCAGCCAAATGTTCATACCCTTACTTTGTACCAATATTTTAGTTCTCCATAACCATTTTCCAAACAAATTGCAAGTATTTTCCACTAAATGCAAATTTATAACATTTCTTATCTAAACAAAACCGTGTAATCAATAAGCATATTTTAAGAAGGGCTACAATATGGAATTTAAACATCTAGAGGCGATAAAGATGGAACTCCAACTAGGCCATTTCCAAATGCCTATATGGCGTCTATCTCCCCCACCCAAAATAGTATATGGTAGAGCACTACCAAAAAGTCATAGCATAGAATGGTAGAAGATTGGAAGAACCAGTATACCTTATTACTGGATCCTTACTGACCCTTTGTGACTGTTGAGATTTATCCCCCACCCACCTTCTTCTGTTCTCATGCCATGCAATTGCAGCTACATAATAGATTCAATTAGTTTATAACATCATGCTCAAAACATAAGTAAGAAAATACACCATGAGAAAACCACATCAAGCATGAAAAGAAGCACAATTAACACTTACTTACTCATCACTTCAGCTCATTATTTCTTAAAAAAACTGAAAATATATATAAAAAAACGCTGCAATCAAAGAATATTTAATTTAATATTTCTTTAGATTTACTTTTATATCAAAACACACTTGTTACTTTTTTGCTTCCAGAAGTAGCAAAAGCACCAATCAATGAAGCCTAACTTATATGTGTAGTGCCTAAGTTGCAATCTTGAATTTCCTTCTGATGGTGCCATTAGAGGGTCAGTACCTCAGCATTTGGTCAGAGAGAGCAATGGCAAATTAGCAATGGGCTCTAAAAAGGCAACCAAATAGAGATAGGACAGGATCGATAGTGTCAGATGAAGAATTGTATCTCTAATTTCATGAAAATCTAGGGATTGACACTGTCTTTGATAATTGAAAGGATATGTTTATGCGTCAGATACTCTCAGACAGCAAAACCAAGAGAGCACATTGCACATCTATGTTGATTTTTTGCACAACTTACATCTAACTAGCAAACCCAATGCAGGAAAATGCATCATGAGAATGAGTTCTCAAGAAATTGCAAGTAGAAATGAGTAATAATGTAAACCATCTTTTGCAAAACCAAATATAGAAAAAGATAAAACTAAAACAGCTAAAATAACAAAAAATAGGTTGATTGAATTTATTTCTTCCAAAATTAGTGGGAAATGATTACCATTTACAAACCATATCTAACCACAAATATCTGTCATGGCAAAACATCTTATACAAAACCATGTAAAACATACATTTTACCTTAAAGCTAAAATGGCAGGCATGGGGGCATGATAATTTTGGTCACAGATATTACTAATATGAATATTCCTTAATGTGATTGCAAAAGGTGGGAAATACCTTTAATGGAACACTATTATGAATCATTTAAAGAAAGGAACTTACCATGATTTACAAATACAGAACTGCTTGCATCTTTTTCAGCAGGCTTTTCCCCTTTATCAGCAGATTGTGGGCACTCTGACGGTTGTTTCTCATTCGAACGGGAATTTCCAGCATTGACCTCCATCATCTCCAAAACAAATGATCATTCCCTTTGGCAATAATTACAATACTTGTCAACTAGAGTTCCTCTAAGTTCCCTTAATAATTTATCCACAAAATGACAGGGCTTCCAGACCACTGCTATGCAAAACAAAATTATTATATAATAGGATCAACAAGAAAGAAAAAGAAGAAATTTTCAGCATGAATATGGACCATAAAAATCATATCCCACCGTTAATTGAGAAGGGTAATATTATATGCTATATACATGATTACATCTTCCAGCATGATATTTTTTTTAGGTAAATTAACTTTTACCACTCATATACATAACACCTTATCACATGTTTTTCACTGGTATTTTGACCTTCCTGACACTCGGGAACTGAGACATCTTAAAACATTCATAATTAGATATACAATATTAATGATATCAGCTCGGTTCTAGATGTTCAACTACCTTTTCCCCCCTAATACTTAATTGTTTTGATCCAACATATTCAGATTATGCTAATAAACAGAAAGCAAGGGCATGAAAGTTGTGTTTCAAGAGTGAGAGTGCTAGAAACCAAAAATCCTATTGGTACAAAACTCCTCAAGAGGACATTTTTGTCTGTTAAGTCCAATGTGGAATTCAAAAGCCCAGATTACTCTGTAGAAATGTATAAGGGAAAGTCTAGCCTGTCTCAATAGATAGCATATCCATTCAAATAAATCAAGACCGGCTCATTTACACAAAAAGGAACAATGATATCTAAAACAAACTTCCAATTTCAGAAAACCAGAAAGAATCAATTTTGCCATATCATTCAGCATTGGTACCATGCAGAGAAGCTTAATGCTCCAACCCCTGTGTGACAGTACAGATTTTCTCACTCAATAGAAACCCATACCATTTTCTTCCCATGAAAAAGAAAATATACCCATGCATCTTGGTCCAAAGAATCCAAGAAAAACACCACTGGATTCCCCCAAAATTCCAGACAATTCCTCATTCAAAATCTAAAATTGTTCAGAAAACAAACTGAAGACACAACAAGAATCTAAGGAATCTTCTCCTACTTAAAACATTAGTGCTACATTTTAATAACCTTGACTCCAAATACGTACACAGAACACAGAAAAGATCAGCATCACTAAAAATATGTACACAGAAAAATTCATTCCCAATTCTTTGCTTTTCAACTTAAAAACCAGCCACAATAGTAACACGTGTTCTACAAGAACAGAAAGAAAACAAATCAAACGGCTCATACAGACAAAAGATTCATAAGAAAACACCAAAAACCCATACTTACTTTTCATCAATTAACAATGCATTTGGCCATGAAAAAGCAAAACAAAAGAAAGCCCATTTTTCAGAATCAACCAATCCAAACAATCAACAGAAAAAAAATAAAAAAAATTAAAAAAGTAAAAACAAGAAAAGAGAAAGTAAAAAAGCCCATACCTTCGGAGAGGAAAAAAATGTAAAGGTGGGATTTTGGGAGACGTTTACAAGGGAGAAGTTTAAAAGGGCATTAAAGAAATTTTAAAAAAAATGAAAAGGAAGGTTTTGTGTCTTTTAATTTTTTTGTATGTTTTCTTGTCTTGTTGGCTTACTGTTTTGTTCTATTGTTCATAGCTTCGGTTTGGTTTCCTTTCATCTCATTTCCAACCTTTCTCTCATTCTTCTTTCATTCATTCCCCCTCGTTTCTCCTGTTTATGTTCCTTGTTTTCCACTTGTAATATGTTTGTCTTTGTCTTTGCTGACGTGGATGTAACTTGGAAATTTGACGTGCGGAATTTTTGAATGGATAAACTTCTCTTCAAGTGAAGTGAAATAATTGGATCCTTTTAATTGGGTCGCTTCCTCAAAAATATTATGCATCTATCTACCCTCTTTATTTATTATCAACAAAAAAAAAAAGAAAGCAATTTTTCCCTTTTTCTTATTTTCTTCCTCAATAATTAGTTTCTTAATATAGATATACGTATATATATAAGTGGTATACAATTATAGTTGTTATTGGTGAGAAAAAAAACTAATTGTATGGGGTTGATAATTCTATTACTATTGCCACAAGAAACTGCACAAAAGAAGCAATAGTTGGGTTTTGTAATTGGGTTTTATTTTGTAACTAGACAATAGTTGATGATCTTACAATTCTTTTTTAACTGGATTTTTTTTTTGTAATTAAGTAAAGTAATTGGTTTGTACATTTTTGACACAAATGGAAAGTTAATACAATTATGTCATTCTGTTATATTCTTTTTCTAGAATTGCACAAATATAGATTAATAAAACAAAAGATTTTCATACACTTATAAGCAAAATTGCATTCAATTATAATGTTTATAGAATTTTCATACACTTCATACATTATTTCAACATGTAGAGAGGGCTAACATTCCTATATGTAATATGAAACAAAATATGGTAAAAGTATCAAGAAGCTCGTGTAATATAAAGTTTTGTTCAATGTAATCCCTACACTATAGAAGTTTGTTCAATTTAATCCTTATATTATAGAGTTTTGTTCAATTTAGTCTCTATACTTTACAATTTGGTGTAATTTAGTCTCTATAAATACAAAGAAATTGACATGGTAAAAAAAAATTTTCAAAATTTTTTTTACTAACACGTCAATGCCATGTTAGAGTCACTAATGGTCAATTTGAAAGAAGTTAGGTAAGAAAACCTAATTACACAAAATGCCAAAAAATAGAGATTAAATTAATTAATTTTGGACAGAGAGACTAAATTGATGTAAACGTTATACTACAAAGACTTCTTGGATAATTTGACTCTCTCAAAATTGTGCATATATCTACACTATTTATTTATTATAAAAAAAATCAATTTTTTGCCATTGTCGAGGCTTCAGGTTTTTTCATATATTGAAGATAGGTTTCTTTGCAAAAATATATCTCTTACATAAGGTGTTTTTGAAAATAGCTATATCTATAATTTACCTATTTTTAGCCAAGAGAAATTAATTTTAATAACATTATCATTAATGAAACAATCCATATATTTAGGTTCACACCTCAAACTGATTCATATCCTTTAAGCTTTCCTTGCCAAACCATTCATTTCTAGAGTATTCCTTGTCAGAAAAAAAACCTTTAAACATTTTGAGCATTTTTGAGTGGTTTTTGATACACGAAGAAAAACCTTTGAACGTTTTGAGCATTTTTAAACATTTTGAAGTGATTTTTATATATGAAGAAAAACCTTTGAGCATTTTTTACCAAGTAGGAATATTCGTTGATTATGTTATTAAATGGAATATGGTGTATCGTTTGAAGTTATTAATTTTGTTAAATAGAATTCAATAGTTTTAATGGTTTTAGGCATTACATAACCGATTTTTGAACATTGTGTGACTAATTTTTAGGCCTTGTGTTTCTAAGTTTTAAACATTATGTCACGGATTTTTAGGTGTTGTATGACTGGTTGATATGGCATTACGTGACTAATTGATAGGTATTACATGACTGATTGATAAGGTATTGTGTGACTAGTTAGTGAGGCATTATGTGATTTTGGTATTGCTTAAAAATCAGTCATACAATGCCTAAAACCAATCACGTAATACCTAAAAACCAAAAACGCAATGATTAAGTCACGTAATGTCTAAAAACTAGTCTCTCAATACTTAAAAACTAATGACACAATATCTAAAAACTAGTAATGTAATACCTAATAACTAATTAATTTGTCTGCTCACAGTCAGGTTTAAATTACCAAAGTCATACAGTGTTCTAATTTACAAATATGTCTAATTAATTTCAACCCCTCAACTTTGGGATTTTATAAATAAATCAATACACCCAAAAACTAAAAACACATACCTTGATGTCATCTCTGCTCTTTGGGATAGCAAGAAAGAGCCAAATGAAGAAATAGACAATATTTGGAAAGAAAGAGAAATTGATATTTAATTTTGAAATTTTATCTAGATGGTAAGATAGAGAAATCGAAACCATTTTAATTTGTTTGAAATTGTTTAAAGGACATTACTGTCAAGTCATGTCAAAAATTGACTAAAAATATTAAAATTATAATAAAGGATATTTTTAAATTAAGCTTATGAGGAGGGTTATTTCTCATAATTTTCTTTTAAAAATATAGACAAATACCTAGATGTCCTTTTCTTACATGGACGTAAGGAAGCATATATATTTAATTATCTAGAGGAGAAAGTTACCTACAAATTGAGTCGTTTGAAAGCTTCTACTATTTCTTTTGCAGGTAGATTGACTTTTGTTGAGTTGGTATTATTGACAGTGCCCTACTACACAATGCAGACAATTGCCATTCCTATTAGTGTCTGCAAGAATATTGAAGTGCCTTGTAGAGATTTTTTTTTGGGAGGTAGCTCAAGCTCAAGGAAATACCCTTGATTAAATGGGACAAGGTTTGCCGTCCAAAAGAGAAAGGTGGGCTAAGCATTCGCAAGCTTAACTTGATGAATGAAGCCTTTTTACATAAAGCTTGTTGGAGAATGCAAGTAACTAACAGGGAAGTTCTTTGGGCCAAGTTATTGTAGGGAAAATATAATGCGGGAAGCTTGACCATTCCAGCAAGAATACAAAGACATGGTGTTTCAGCATTCTAGATGTCAATTAGCAAACTATGGGAAAAGTTTAAAGGTAATATAAAGTGGGCTCTTGGTAATGGCATTACTACTGAGTTATGGATAGATGATGGCTTGGAGATGTTCATTTTATTGATGTTGCAAAATCCATTGGAGAGGTCATTAATGATCACGATACTTTCAAGGAGTTTGTTAAACTGAATGGTGATTCCTTTTATTGTTGTTGCAAAATCTATTAGAGAGGCGATTAATGAAAGTGGTAGTTTCAAGGAATTTGTTAAACTGAATGGTGATTGGGACCTTGATAGAGTGGTAAACTTGTTAACTTCAAAAGATTTGTAGCACCTTGTTAAGCATGTTCCTCCCTCGATTAGCATGGAACCAGCTAGATAGTAGTGGCCTCATTCATCTTCAAGTGAGCTTATGGTTGCTTCAACATATGAAATACTAAGGAATTATCCTCTCTTTAACAAAGATACGGCTAGTAGAGTTTAGGACACAATCTAAAAGTGGCAAGGTCCAGAGTACTTATCTATTCCTTTGTTTTCACAAAAAGCTACTCACTGACAAAGAGAGGGTACACAGAAAAATGTCCAATGACGTTATGTGCCTACAATGCCAAATAGATGAGGAATTGATAATTCATACTCTATGAGACTATCCATTAGCGAAGGTCATATGGTGCAAGCTCTTACCACAAAATCTGCAAGGAAATTTTCATTACTTTCCCTTGCTTGATTGGTTGTCTTTCAACTTAAACATAACTAAAGTGTTAGTTAATGGAGTACCATGGAGCCTGGTATTTGGAATTGCTTCATAGATGCTTTGAAAATGGCAAAACTTGTTTGTATTTGTGAGCAAGATAGTCTCGACTGAAGGTCAAATGGTTGCAATACAAAGCAGGTCATTAGTTTTACAATTGACAAACATAAATTCTATCCAAGAAAGTGGCGACATTTTACAAACAAAGGAGGGAATTTTAATTAAATGTTCACCTCCTATAGCAAGTTTCACAACTCTAAATGTGGATGGTGGTTTTAGACAATCCTTGAGCAAAGCGTCAGTTGAAGGAGTACTTAGGAATGCTAGGATTCAATTTCATACTCAAACGTGAAAATAATTAAAAAATTTAGAATATAATACCACAGAAAAATAAATTAGCATTTATTCAGAGAAATAGTCAAATCCTACAAGATCAATATTTGTGTTTTTCATGTAATTTTTAAATTAATTATGAACATTCATAAGTTTAAGAGTTACATACCTTACTCTAGATATCGTAATTAAGAGCTAATTAAATCCAAAAAAAGCTTATGATAAAGCAAGTAACTTAAAAAGAAAATAAATCAGTATGAAATCCTGCAGTCGAAATCTTTGTTTTTTCACTTTTAGGATTTGTCAAAACTTCAGTCATTCAAGTGTTTGACCTTTAACAGTAATCCACACAGTGGCTAAATAAAACATTCTCAAAGATAGAATTTTACTTGTACTGGCAAGTTTTGTTTTTAAAAACAAAAAGACAAAAAGTTCTTCCCGAATCTTATTTCTGTTAGACAAAGAAAACTATTTTTTTTCTTATTTTTATGAAACGGTTAAGAAATGGTTGAAGGCTTAGAGTTTTAGTTGGCTAATATAAAATATTTATATAGCCAAATTAAGTTGTAACCATAGATACAATAGTTGTATTTTAATTCAATTAAGTCGTTGTGAACTTAATTAATTGTTATTTTATTTTGATCTATTCTAATTAAGTCCAACTTAATTGATTATCTTTATTTAATCTCAATCATGTCACTTAATGTGTATGACCCACTAGGCTTCTAATATGTTAGCAATAAATATAAATTCTAATCAAATATCAATTTGATAATTGATTTATATTTATAGATTATGAGCGGCATCTAGTAATATATCACAACCACCTAAATGTTAGAGAGTCAATTAAAGAATTTGACAAAGCCTTTCAGTGATAAGCCTCTCAGTGCAATACAGTAGTGTCATCAAATATCCCAGATATGTCATAAGGCATGACTTACTGTCTACTTATGACATTCCATATTAGTTTTCATAATTTATAACTAACTTTATGAATTTAGGAAACTAACTTTCTTCAAATTCATCATG